CAATATTAAAAAAATTTGTACAATCACTAATCTACAAATAAAATGCTGAAAAATAAAATTTCTTCTATTCTTGATCTTGACTTGTACGCAACTCCAATAATTGAATGCAAAATCTTTACACGAGATTGCTTCCTAAATCTTCTGCCCTCAACAATCTGCTCCTAAGTTTTCATTTGTAGAAATTTCCACACAATTTTGCCGGTATCTTGAGCGTTGGTCTGTTCGAAGATCAAAAGAACTCCTACTTTGTCTGTAGATTTATGCACACTGCTACCAAGGTCAATCTGGAGAGAAGAACCTTATTCTTTTCCATTGAAATTGTCAAAACCAGTACAACACCGCACAACCTTGCAAGCTTTTGAAATTTTAAACAAATCTTCAAAGAAATGTTAAATCCAAAAACAAATTTCCTCAATCGATCACAAATATATAAAGATGAGATTTAGATCCATGCAACAATGGATAAAGAATGAGAAAGAATATAAAAGAAATCATTTGCAAGTGTTCAAGAAAGATTCAAAAGGCTTTTTGAAAAAGTAAGAACAAGTGGATTTTGGGTTTTCAATTGTTTAAGGAAAGAATGTGTTTTTTAACATTCACTCTTTGAAAGGTTGAGAGATGAAAATGATTTATAGGTTTTGGAGATGAAGCACAAAAAGTAATGAAAATTTTATGAGACGAGGAAGCGTTTTGAATTAGATTATATTGTCTCTTTCTAAGACTTTCTATTTCTTACAACTGGTTTATCAATTTTACTCGTTTCTTTATCTTTTGACAGATGTAAAATAAATTTTGATAAGAAAAATGAGAGGTTATCTCATCGTCTTGATAATTTTATATGAGACAGAGGTTTTCTTCTTCCTTATTTGAAGATTTCATATCATCGTTATCGCAGGATATGTGTGCTTTATTTTCTTCTCTATGAGATATTTAACTTTCTTTAGTTTTAGTTTTTTCTCTAATTTTAAGGGCAATGTGCTCTTATGTGCCATTTTTCTCCCTATTAATGACATTTAGGAATTAATAAGAGAAACTTTCTTCACTTTTCTTCTAGAGCCATGAGGTTTCTTTTTCATGCTTAAATAATAATTTGAATTTATGAAACATGAATTCCATGAATTCATTACTTTTACTTTGATACTCTTTATCTTATAACTCCAAATCTTTAATACTCACTATGCCAAAAATTGTTTTTAATAGCGTTTTTTCCACCTTTAATAGCGCTTAAAAGCGCTATAAAAGCCTCCGCTATTATAGATTTGATACATATAATAGCGCTTTGAAAACGCTATTAAAATGAGTGTTTTTAATAGCACTTCATTATAAATGCTATAATTGCCCTATTCTGCGCTACCATACACATTGTTTATGAAAGGATGTAATAGCGCTTTTTAAAGAAGTGCTATTATAGTCCTTGTATTTAATAGCGCTTTTTGTATAAGTGCTATTATAGTCCTTGTATTTAATAGCGTTTTTTCTAAAAGTGTTATTGTAGACACTATCTTTAATAGCACTTTCTAGAAAAACACTATTAATGCCCTTTATTTATTCTTTTAAGAAAATGAAATTTTATAACTCAATACTACAATAAAAAATCACACATTTAAAAAAAATGCAAATATCGATAATATGACACATAAGACATGATCAATTAATTTGTATTCAAAATAACTTCAAATAATAGAAATGAATTATATAAATGTTTGAAGTCGGTTACGATACCAACTAAGTCAATAACAAACAATCTGAACTGATTATAATTTGCTTCATTCCTTGAAGGCGGGAGCAGACCTTTGATGGCGAGCACCATGAGATGCGATATTGCAGTTTGCCCGGCGGCTATTGATCATGACAGCCGGTTCCTCACAAGCCTTATTTGCCGCCTCTGCTTCCTTGAACGTTACAAATCCGTAGCCTTTGGATCTGCCAGTAACCTTATCGGAAATGATAACAGCTTCAAGGATTTCGCCGTACTTTTCAAAATGTTCTCTGAGCGTGTCTTTCGGAGTCTCCCAAGCAAGACCTCCGACGAACACTTTGGTCAGCGTAGTGTCCCCAAACTGTGATCTCATCATGAATCAGATCAATGTATCAATTTTAGATTGATAAATTGATCTGTAAATATAGTAGAAGAAAGAAGAAATAGTGTGTTGATGAGTGATGATGATGGGCACTATGAATCAATGAGTCTAACTAAGAAGAGTACTTGGGTGCCATAACATCATATCGAAGCTGCCATAACATAAAAAAAAAAAAGAGGAAGATTTCAACAATGAGAATGGTCCAGAATTGCACCATGGTTACACTCCACAAATAACTAGAATAAGAAAACTAATGTCCATAATAGTTTAACTGCACTCACCTCATATAGAACTTCAGCACTTCTAGCATTGAAATCCCTTATCGATGCACGTTTCACATGCTGCCATCATATAAAGTTAGCCAATGGTACTAACACATGAGTGAATATCAATTCATTATGTTGAGAAGATATATGATACTCAATAATCCAGAGATAGTGGTGGTTGTTAATAGCAATCTGATAAAGTTTGTAGAACTAAATTGCTAAATTGAAAAACTAAAAATTTAAGTTGCAACTGACTTACATCTCTTATTGAAGTTTTATGCAAAGAATAAACAGCTTGAGAAGCAACCTAATGAAACAAGGTATATTATTATATTTTTCATCAGTCATATGTTAATATTTATAACCAGCATCCATGATATTGCTTTACCTTCATACCTATCCTTCATACCAGCAGAAAGAAACTCCAAATCCGCACCCTTTTTTTGAGTTCCAAATGGAGGATTCATTATAATTGTATTGACAATTGGATTTGGTGAAAGCACCAATATTACTGTTGCACCCCAAAATTTGACCAACTTTTCCTTACCTAGCTTATGTTTCATTTCATTCACATTAGCATTATCATTTGCATTTCATTGACATGTATGCAGGAGATCAAGAGGTATGATCACCAATTAAGAGCTATACAAGACTATGAAGCTAGCTAAGAAGGTTATTCAAGTGTTCAAGGGTTGATATCCTTGTCAGAGAAATTAAAAGATCTTCAAAGAGAGTGGTTGAAACCAAGAGTGTGTGTCTCCTAACTTGAGAGTTGTGGAAAGCCATCAGATGATTATGAGGCCATGAAGTTAGACTTGAGGTCTTGAGAGAGCTCATGAGAAGTGTTGAAAATCACTTTGAGGCCTAGACAGGTCATTGTGCAAGATTAAAAAGACTCAGCCATGAGTGGTGCAACTAGGGTTTGACTGGGTCAACCCTAGGTCAACTGATGATTTGAACAAGGTTGAGACCTAATTCAAGAGTCATGTGATCATGGATTGATGCATTGAGATGTTATAAGGATGATTCTGTTGCACCCCAAAATTTGCCCAACTTTTCTTTACCTAGCTTATGTTTCATTTCATTCACATTAGCATTATCATTTGCATTTCATTGACATGTATGCAGGAGATCAAGAGGCATGATTACCAATCAAGGGCTACACAAGACTTTGAAGCTAGCTAAGAATGCTATTCAAGTGTTCAAGGGTTGATATCCTTGTCAGAGAAGTTAAAAGATCCTCAGAGAGAGTGGTTGAAACCAAGAGTGTGTGCCTCCTAACTTGAGAGTTGTGGGAAGCCATCAGATGATTCTGAAGCCAAGAATGTGGACTTGAAGCCTTGAGAGAGCTTATGAGATGTCTTGAAATCCATCATGAAGCTTAGACAGGTCATTGTGCAAGATTAAGAAGCCTCATCCATGAGTGGTGCAGTTAGGGTTTGACTGGGTCAACCCTAGGTCAACTGATGATTTGAACAAGGTTGAGACCTAATTCAAGAGCCATGTGATCATTTAT